TGTTCTGTGCCTATACTCTTCTGCCCCTCAACTAGGGACAAAAATAAAAGACAATTTTTTTATTTAGAGAGATTTTTGCTACAGGGCATGTGCGCTTGCCAGAGAGACACAAAGAGACAGAGAGACAGAAAGTGAGAAATAACCTCACCAGGGAGGATGGCCATATTGGAATCTCTTCTCCTCTCAGGATTTTGGGCACACACACACACAATTGCAGCCGAAGTGAGTTTTAAGCACCAGATAGGGCACTCGAACCACACAGTCGACTACTTGGAAGCCCAGCGACATAACCATTATGCCATATGCTGGTCCTGAAAGAGACCATTTTTACCTCTAGATTTATATTGTCCAAGCTGGTAGCTGCTAAGCCACATGTGCTTTTTAAAATTTTTTTTTTCTTTATTTGGAGAGGTTTTTGCTATAGGGCAATAGAAAGCGAGAAATCACCCCCCAGGGGGGATGGTCACACTGCAATCCCTTCTCCATTCTCCTCTCGGGATCTTGGGCACACATGCACATGCACCCGGCATGAGTTTAAGCCACCAGGTCCAGGACTAGAACCACGGTCGACTAAGTGGGAGTCCAGTGACATAGCCATTACACTAACTGCTGGTCCCGTGCCACATGTGCTTTTTGAGTATTTGAAATGTGGCTAGCGTGACTAAGGAACTGAATTTTAAACTTACTTTGTTTCAACTAATTTAAATTTAAAACTGAAGCAGTGTAAAGAGTGTTTGTTCATTATACATATTTTTTAGGATAGTTCATTTTAACTATTTAAAACTTAGCATCTTAATTGAAAAATATTTTAAGTATAAAATACACACTAAATTTCAAAGACTTAATCCAAAAAAAAGGTAAAATACTTTTCATCCATAGTTTCTTTCTTTTTAATCTTGATTATATAATAAAATGACAATAGCTTGGATATATTGGGTGAAATAAATGACATTATTAAAATTAATTTCATTTGTTTCTTTTTGCATTTTTTAATGTGAGTCTAAACAATTTTGAATTATATTCATAGCTCAAATTCTATTTCTATTGAATGCTGCATTGGTAGAAATTTTCAGTGGGGTGCAATTTTGTCCCTGCTAGGGGACATTTGGAAATGTCTGGAATGGTGGTTACAACTGGGTTGATGTGCTATGGGCATCTAGTGGACAGTTACCAGGGATTCTATTAAACATCCTACATATAGAGGAGAGGACCCTCCACCCTCCCAAAGCAAAGAATTACCCAGCCCTGGATCTCTAGAGTGCTATGGTTGAGAAACTTTGCTCTCGCGCATAAATTCCTTGAAACCAGGGAGGATGGCCATATTGGAATCTCTTCTCCTCTCAGGATTTTGGGCACACACACACACAATTGCAGCCGAAGTGAGTTTTAAGCACCAGATAGGGCACTCGAACCACACAGTCGACTACTTGGAAGCCCAGCGACATAACCATTATGCCATATGCTGGTCCTGAAAGAGACCATTTTTACCTCTAGATTTATATTGTCCAAGCTGGTAGCTGCTAAGCCACATGTGCTTTTTAAAATTTTTTTTTTCTTTATTTGGAGAGGTTTTTGCTATAGGGCAATAGAAAGCGAGAAATCACCCCCCAGGGGGGATGGTCACACTGCAATCCCTTCTCCATTCTCCTCTCGGGATCTTGGGCACACATGCACATGCACCCGGCATGAGTTTAAGCCACCAGGTCCAGGACTAGAACCACGGTCGACTAAGTGGGAGTCCAGTGACATAGCCATTACACTAACTGCTGGTCCCGTGCCACATGTGCTTTTTGAGTATTTGAAATGTGGCTAGCGTGACTAAGGAACTGAATTTTAAACTTACTTTGTTTCAACTAATTTAAATTTAAAACTGAAGCAGTGTAAAGAGTGTTTGTTCATTATACATATTTTTTAGGATAGTTCATTTTAACTATTTAAAACTTAGCATCTTAATTGAAAAATATTTTAAGTATAAAATACACACTAAATTTCAAAGACTTAATCCAAAAAAAAGGTAAAATACTTTTCATCCATAGTTTCTTTCTTTTTAATCTTGATTATATAATAAAATGACAATAGCTTGGATATATTGGGTGAAATAAATGACATTATTAAAATTAATTTCATTTGTTTCTTTTTGCATTTTTTAATGTGAGTCTAAACAATTTTGAATTATATTCATAGCTCAAATTCTATTTCTATTGAATGCTGCATTGGTAGAAATTTTCAGTGGGGTGCAATTTTGTCCCTGCTAGGGGACATTTGGAAATGTCTGGAATGGTGGTTACAACTGGGTTGATGTGCTATGGGCATCTAGTGGACAGTTACCAGGGATTCTATTAAACATCCTACATATAGAGGAGAGGACCCTCCACCCTCCCAAAGCAAAGAATTACCCAGCCCTGGATCTCTAGAGTGCTATGGTTGAGAAACTTTGCTCTCGCGCATAAATTCCTTGAAGGACAGGCCGCAAAGTCAGGGAGACCTGAAGAACCAGCTGAGTTAGCTGGGTAAAGAAGTGACATGCTTAGTCCTCATGATTCACTGTGGCTGTGAGTATTGTAATTTCAACTCCTCTGGCTGAAGATAACGAGGTCCAGAGAAAAGAACCAACTTATCTAGAATCGCCTTGCCAGAAAGTGACAGAGCTGGAAGCTGAACTCAGCCACCGCTTACTCCCAATGCCAGCCCATCCCTGCTCTCTCATAGCTCTGCGGTGCTCTCATTTGGTGTTGATGTGGAAAGAGGCTGCCTATGCTTCCAGTCCAATAACCCCATCACTCAGACCTGGGCAGTTATTATTTACATCAGCCATTATTGCTACCAGGGGATGAACATTAACAAAACACCCTTTGAAAGGGACAGCCTGTTCAAAGAGAAACACTCACAGGCACCTCACCCATCAAATAAAGCTGAGAAACATGTGGAAATAAATGGAACACAATGAAATAAACCTGTCAGAGTTGGAACATTCAGAAGCCTCAGAAGGCAAGAGGTAAGAACAAATGTGCTGATATAGGATTGGCTCTGTTTAAAGAAAACATTATCTGACTGCTTGACTTGAATGGAACCCAGAGAACAATGGCCCAGTAGAATGGAGCTGCTCGCACTTTCCAGAGAAACACTGTTTCTCTATAAACGTGTGTGGGCACTATTCTCTCACTGTCCATCTGTCCGTTCCAGTGTCCATCTGCAATGCCTGCCTCCCTTAGGAAAGGCAAGGTTGGTGGGCCTGTAACAAGACAGAGTTGACACTTGGTGAAGACCTACTAAGTGCTACTACACAGCACACTCTCTAGAATTATGCAATTCAATCTTTCATATGACTCTGTGAAGTAAATGTAATAATTAGTTATGCTGGTGAAACAAAGTTGTGTAACTTACATAAGGTCACATACCCAGGGAGCAGCTAAGATGGGATCCCTGAGGTGTTGGCAGTGACACATTGGGTCATGGTCACACAAGGCAAGGGTAAAAAGGGGCCATGGTGGATGCTGTTGAAGCTCTTTGCAACAACAAAGTATCTCCTTTACTGGGATACTGCACCTACTCTCCATCTGTTATGGGTGCTAGCTGCAAAGGACTCACAGATACTGCCTACCTTAGAGAAGTACCATTAGGAACCCATTCCTCAAGAAGTCATGTAGCCCTGAGGGAGCCAACAGCCAATGTGCACATGTAGGCACCCTTGTCTCAAGGTGGGACTGACCCTGCTGTACAATTCACACTCCAGAGTGCCCACCCTGAGTCCAGGATGATGATGTAATCTCTGTATCTTCTCTTAGCTATGTCCTCTGTCCTATCTCATTTCTCTCCTTTTGTTTCTTTTGAGAAAACCTTCATTGAGTAATTTGCTCAAGAATCTCCATCTCAGGCTAGGTGTCCAGAGAACCCAGATTAAGATTACTCACTCACAGTAATGTTTCTGAATTTAAGAAAAGGGCTAGATAAGAGTGGACTGTAAAGGTACCTGGTAGCTGTATGTGTGTCATTGCTGTTTGCTGTACCCTCTTTTCTACCATGATAACTGTTCATGGACTAATGGAGAAGAAGTCAAGAGGTCATTGCTGGACCAGGAATTTGAGAGTGGTGACAGGTAAGGGATTGAAATCTCCAAGAAGTTTCCCACTGACCAGAAAGAACCCCTGCAGAGATTTCTAGGTTAGTGGACTGTCTTTCATCTCTAGGCCTCCCTGTAGGCATCAGTCTCTGACATGAGGAGACTCTACATACTAACCTTTGAAGAATATCACGTGTTTTTGTGAAATGAGCTTAACCTATGTGCTTGAGGAGAGAGGTTGGCACTTATTCCTAACAATTATCTACTCTAGACTAGGTACAGCTCTACCAGCTCCTTTGATATTTATTATTTTGTTTAGTTTCAGAACACAACTCTAGAGGATTCTGCATGTGCAGAGAATCTAAAATGAAATGGTATATTCTAAGAGGTAGATGTTGTCATTCCTACTTAACAGATAGGGAAAGTGGGGCTTGTCAAGGATTCAGGACTTGCAGACAACAAATGGTAGACCTGAGACCACAGTCAGATCTGCTCATTTCCTAAGCACAGGCCTGTTGGGCTGACTTCTTCCCCAGACCATAGCTCATTCTTTTAGCTCCAGGTGCACTTATTTCAAACACCACACACCTCTACTATGTAGCACCAATTCTAGCTAAATATTTGTGTACTTTTCTGATTAATGGCTATCTCTCTTTCTGGAAAGCAAATGGATTTTTTTTTTCTCATTTTAACAATACCTAACACAGTGCCTGGCACAGTAGGTGCTCAGTAAGCATTAGTAGAATAGATGAAAGGAGAAGTAGATGGATGGATGGAGGAAGGTATGGATGAGTGGTAGCTGAATGGCTGGTGGGTTGAGTGGGTGGATGAATAGGGTGGAAGGATTGCCATTTCCTCTCTGGTGCATCTGGCCTGGAGGACCAGCTGAATGTGGGCCACTCTCACTCCCCTTCCACCCGCCCAGGGCTCTGGTGATCACCTGTGGTGAGGAGGCAGAGTGGAGTCCCCGGGGTCACCTGGGCGCTGCCCATTGGTGCTGACCACAAGGAAGCCAGTCCCCAGGCAGCATGCAGAAGAGAAGGAGAGAAAGAAACACACATGAAAACGTGCGGTACGGTGAATAAAACTACAATTCTTGTGACTCTAAAGAGCTCACACTAAACAGTAAAAGAACATTATGATTTAACAAAATAGGTCCTGAAATTGATTTTTAAAAGTGAAACAAGAATAAGAGTCAGCATTTATCAGGCACCCACAACATGCCAGGTACTCTTCCAGGTGCTTCACGTACATTTCTAAGACTTACATCAACCAACAAAGGTCAGTATTATTATAAATGAACTCATTGTTTCCCACCCAAACTTCTCCCATCTTCCCTGTGTGGATGGTACCACTCTCCACACAGATTCTCAGCCTAAAAATCTATGACTCATTCTTTACCCTTCCTTTTTTTCTAACTTTCAACTTATAATCTATCACTGGGCATTATTCATTTCATGCCAGACAAGTTCTTGAAGTGGCCTCCTTCCCAGCTTAATTCCCAAGTCAAGCTACCCTTGTGTTTCATTGATCATTTAAGCAGCCTCCAGTCTAGTATCCCTGGGTCTTGCTCCCCATCAACCTGTTCTCTACCCTTTGGCTGAAATGCACCAGTGTCACCTCCCATTGTCAGGTTAAACTTCAAATTGCCTCATCCAAGTCACAGACCATCCATGGTGCATTTCTTGCCTACCCCTCTAGTCTTATCTCTCACCACACCCACCAACACACGTACTTTTTTTTTTTTTTTTTGAGAGATTTTCACTGTAGGGCACGTGCGCTCGCCAAACAGACAGAGAGAGACATAGAGACAGAAAGCAAGAAATCACCCCCCAGGGGGGATGGTCATGCCGCAATCCCTTCTCCTCCATTCTCCTCTCGGGATCTTGGGCATGCACGCACACGCGCCCGGCGTGAGTTTTAAGCCACCGGGTCCGGGACACGAACCGCGGTCGACTACGTGGGAGTCCAGAGACATAGCCATTACGCTAACTGCTGGTTCCCACATGTACTTTCTTGTCTAGAAGCCTAACCTAAGTTAGTTGCTTTGAATAGAACATCCTCCTGCTTCTTCACCTGACTGACATCTGCTCATCCTTCAGATGTCAGTTTAGGAGTCCTTCCCTTCCAAGAGTCTTTAGTATACCACCAAATCTGGGACATATGACCTTCCTTTGTCACCCCATCAGTGCTTCATCTTCTCTTCTTGTCATAATAACCTCATCACATTATAAGCCTTTGCCTTAATTTTGTAGCCTGAAGGCAGATACATGATGTAATTTACTAGTGTAACCTTGTGGCTTTGTATTGTACCTGGCACATAGTAGATGCTCAGGGAATATTTGTTGAATAAATGAATGAATGAAGGAAGGAAGGAAGGAAGAAAAGGTGAAGCAGAGAATTGATATAACTTGCTGAAGGTCACTGAACTAGTAACCAAGAGAGGCTACATTCAAATACTGGCTCATTTTCTTTAACATTCCTGCCCTTTCAAATCCACCATTTGCCTCTCTAAAGAACATAGCAAAAAAGATTAGAAAGTGTCTTATGCTTGGTTAGTGCTTGCAAGTTTCTCTAGTACTTCATCAACAAAACTGCAGATTTTTCTACTTCTATCTCCATTTTGCATGAAAAATGGAGATAGAAGTAGAACATTCCAGACCCCACTGGTAAACAGGAAATACGTCATTTCAAAAATAGCACAAATGGCAAGCTTGATCAACAACCATGAAATACTATAAGATTTAACCAGCAGCAAACAGTAATCACAATACTCTTCCCTTAAAAATATGGAAAGTTTGCCATTTTCAAAGCACATGCTAAGGCAGAAGTCAGCCAACTATAGCTTGTGGATCAAATCCAGCCCTGTACTGCTTGTTTTCTGTGCAGCCGTGAATTAAAAATGGTTTATATATATATTTTTAAGGGTTGCAAAAAAATAAAAAGAAGAGCAATATGTTGTGACACATGAAAATGGTATAAAATACAAATTTCTGTGCCCAAAACCAAAGTTTTACTGGAACATTTCTGCCCACATTCTTATATGTATTCACTATGACTGCTTTTGTGCTACAATGATAAAATAGAATAGTTGCAACAGAGACCACAAAGTTCAAAAAACTGGAAATGTGTACTATCTGGCCTTCTATGGAAAAGTTTGTTAGAACAGGGGTTTTAAGTAGATATTTTTTAATGTTCTTTTCTCCCAATACTCACATGCAGGCAAGTTAAGAAATGTTGGCTCACATGTCAGAAAAAGAAATACAAGACTTAAGAGAAGAGATGAATCCTTTATTCCCACCTGGCCTTCTTTAGCAGCTTCCTACCTGGCCTCCTATATGTAGCTTTGTCCCTGCCTCAGTCCACCTTCTCCAATCCATTTTCTAAGCTGCAACTAGGATGTCCTTCCTGAAAAAGGCATTCTGTTTTGTTTGTTTGTTTGTTTGTTTTTAAAGAAAAAAAAACAAAAAAACAAAACTACAGGGGCTCCTTTTGTCTGTTGTATAAACTTTGGGGCTATACAGAGTCCTGGGTGGCCTGGCTTGGCACTTCAGCTTTACCTCTGGTTACTCTGGTACACTAGCCGTCATTCTCTCACCTTGTCTCATTCAGGCAGTGGCATGTTCTCTTGCCTTTGATGATTTGTATATCTACTTCCTCTGCTTAGAAGACCTCCCCACTTTACTCTCCAATCGTGTTCAACGTGTTAACTGTCACTCTTCTTTCAGAAGGTGTCTCAGTGACCACACACTGTGAGATACTGTGCCCTAGGTGATTTATGTTTCTGTGCTCTGTGCTCCAGTGACATCCCGAATTTACCTTCATCATAGCCCTTACACAGTACTAATATATTTATTGGTTTGTTCTCCCACTAGCTACTACTTGTTAAGTGCTCATCATAAGGCAGGCATTGTGCAATAGACTAGTTCATTAAAGTCTTCCATTAGCCCTGTAAAGTTAGTGGTGTAATTGCCACTAGTCTGTAGAAGGGGAAACTGAGACATAGTTCAGTTAAGTACCTTTTCCCACCTAGAATCTAGAACTGTTCAGCTACAAAGATGACCATCTCAACCTGTACAGAGTATAGGACCACATACTAAGTTACACTCAGTGAACATTTATTGAAAACTGAATGAATACATGAAACTCTGGCTCAGAATTTTTCACTTACTAGCTGTATCACGTGGACAATTACACACATTTCTAAATTGCAGTTTCTTCACCTATAAAGTGGGAACAATAATTAGTATCTCATGAAGTAATTTTAAGGGTTGGATGGAAAGCAATTAGAACCTCAGTTTGGTTGGCAGGACCAAAGTCCCCTCCATCTACCCTCTAGGGTTACAACTTATGCTCTGCTTAGCAGTGATACTCAACTAAGAGGAGTAAGAACAGAGGGACAGCTGAGCTGCTTCAGGGTTAGAGAGGGGTTTTACTAATGGGTGGGCTATCAGAATATAATAGGATAGATCACAAGTCTCAGTAGAACAGAAAGGGATATAGAAATAGGATGAGGTCTTACACATACATCATGATGGATATGGTGCATGTTCACCAGTGTGTGACTCTTCTCTCCTTCTTAGACATATGGAAGAGTCTCATTTAATTTGTATTTGGGATGGATCATGTGACTAATTGTTATCAAGGCCATGCAAGTGGCATGAATCATTTTGAAGTGAGGTATTTAAGATCCAAGTTACCACCTTTATGTGTTTCTCTTCTCCTGCAGGGGGGGTGTCTCTGAAGTCATCTATATTCTAGATGGGATACCAACAAATAAACCTTTGTGATATTAAGATACTGAGATTTGGGTATTAATTTGTTATCATAGCAAATCTTTTTCTATCCTGATTAATCTTAGCTAGAAAAGAGGTGGAAGTCCCTTGCCTTCTCTTTTAACACCTGGCCCCTCCACTATATATATATATATAT